TTCATATGATGATTTCTCTAGAGAGTGGAGTACAAAGGGGATCCATAAATAAGTCAGGCAATATGTACTGCAATGCAGTAGCATAATCTTTCAATGCTTTTTCATTTGACTGCATTGTACTGGCAGAGGGCAACTGCTAATATCTCATGGATTATCTTTGCTTTCTCAAAAGCTACTGTAATGTGATTGCAGGTGTTTTTTTAAAGGTTTATGAAATTGATTCTCAAATTCTGATATTTTTGGAAAAGAAAGACAGCAGTGTTTCCATTATGCTTTCCTAGCTTTTCCATGCCTCACACCATTAACACCAGTAACACCAGGAAGCATGTAAATGGAATATGTTAGTAATTCTGTATGGGGGGGGGGAAGTGTCCTTGACGTTAGTGAAATACGGTAAAAGTTTATGTTCATAAGCAAAGTGATACCCCTGCTTCTGCTGATCTGAATTTTTTACTGTTACACAGATTGTTTCTACTGGTAAATCACACAGAGCGGCAATGCTATTTTCACACCATCCCTTTGAAATATAAATTTTGTGGCAGGAATCTTTGTACTGGCTAACAGAAGGCTGTGGGGTGTGATTGCTGTGAGCAGTACCGGTCTTCACCAGTGTGGCACCTTAGGCAAGCATCACCGCCGCGCCCCCCTGTCTGAGGCAATGTGAAATTGCCTGGCAAGTCGACCACCCGTCGGAAGTTGACGCCCCGAGCGGCCGCCTACGTCACAGATAGGATTGACCGACACTGGCTACAAGCGATATTAAGCAGCATTCCGTTACACTTCTTAACCATTTTCAGAGGTTGTGCGCATATTTAGATTGTATGTATAAAGTGTGAAGTGATTAGTTTAGCAAAATGCTGCTTAAATTTAAGCTTAATGGGAATATGGAGATCTCACAGTGTGCTGTCGATGAAGGAAAGTGTTCTTTTAATCAAAGACCAGTGTGGGAGCTCAGACAGGAGGGACATATGGTTTGCATTATTGTTTACTTGTCTAACATCCCCAGACATGGCTGTGTACAGAGAAATTTAATGCAGGGGATTTAGAAAGCTGCATTCTTTCCTAAAACCCTCTGGGTTGCATATTTTATTCATGAGCTCTGTAAAAATAAAGGTTTGCCTAGTGGCCCAAGGCCGGCAACATATTCTGAAGGATCAGCCAGACGCTGCTTTTAAATGGCGATTGGAATCTGTACCACATCTTCTTTCTAGGATAGTTAGCTTCTATCTTTGGAACAGAATTATAATGACTGATAAAGACTATAATTACCTCTTTGCTTACAATTTACAAAACAAATTTGAAAAATTTATCAAAACATAAAGCACATTCCTGGGGTGGCATGGTGGTGCAGTGATTGGCACTGGTGCCTCACATTGCTGGGACTTGGGTTCGAGTCTCCACCAGGGTTCTGCGTGTGGAGTTTTCATGTTCTCCTCATGTCATGGTGGGGTTTCCTCCAGATACACAGTCCAAAGATATGCTGAGGTGAATTAGTGTTACCAAATTGCCCATAGAGGTGCATGTGTGATGGGTTGGCGTCCCATCCTGGGTTGTTCCCTGCATTGTTCCTGTAGCTTCTGACAAAGGATCTGGACACCCTGTCACCCTATATAGGACAAGTGGTTACAGAAAATGGATGATTGATAAATATATTCCTAGGTTTGGTAAAACCATTGTGGAAAAGTAGTCGATCTTGCTCGACTTCACAGCTGATGAGCTCTGGGAAATACCCAGCCCAGACAGACTTGCCTTTGGTTCTTCCACGCTGCCCAGAAAGTGCTTCTCCACGTAGGCCATTGGCTCCAGTTTGCATTCCTGGCTCTATCCAGTCATGGAGTAGCAGGTGATATGGAGTCTACCCTGTTCTTGCCAGCATGTTGTTGGAACAGAACTCTACTCCATGTTTGATCTCAATCCAGGATAAACCTCAGGCCAATCCATGCTAAAGTCAATCTTTATTGAGGCAGATGGTGCATCTTCCTTCTCTTTGGGCAAATTGCTCCTCATGCGTTCTGGAGGCATAATCTTCATTAACTTTCTGCACCCACCTGCTGGTTAGATCCTACCAGCTGTGATGGATCTAGCTGTGGTGGATGATGATAGCATTGGCTGGATTAAACCACTATATTGTTTTATAATAAAAGTTAAAAACTTGTGAAGAAAAGAACAAAAACATTTGAACTATATTAGGAAGAAAGGAACAATAAGAGCAACCCTGGCTTCTAATGCAAATTGTCTCCTTTTTGTGAAATGAAGTGACCAAGTTTATAAACTATATATATACACAATTAAAATGAGCCTCACTTTGAACTGTATCCACTATTACTTGGCAACAACTGAGACTTTTAATGCAAACATTTTTTACTGAGAAATGAAGTAGCCTGGCTTATATACACTGTGCACACTCAGTAATTACAATGAGCCTCACTTTGACCTGTAATCACTGTTACACAGTAACCATGCAGGCTTCTAAAGTTTTTTCTCAGTATTGAAGTAGCCTGGTTTACAATAATATATATGCAACTCAGGCTATTCCTGTAGTTCAAATCAATTACGTAAATTCCAGTTAGCATCATAGTTAAAAATTCAGTAACAGCGTGTTACATTTTAAACAGTATTTAAATCTAATATGAATGTTATAAATAAAAACTAAAATTCAGACTTGTTTTTAAGCTTCTCCATTACTCAGTAGTTAAGTGTAAAATACTATTTTTTACACTGGAAAAATTGTTAAAAACAGTATTTAAAAGTTGTGCACTGTTAACAAAACCGCTCTCTATTGGGTTTCAAACTGTAACTTAAGTTAATAATACGGAATACACAAAAATTATTTCATTGTTAAAATGAGTGCACTTTTACATAAAATGGTGTGTTATATAATTTCTTACGACGTATAATGGTTTACTCTCTAATATGTGAAATTCATCCCAGAACCTCAGTTCATAGGTATCATTTTCATGGATCATTTTTCTACAGCGTTTCTTCGCTTGATACTAAACATACAGTCGTGTAGCAGGGCAATGATGGCTTCCGTATTCAAGGGGCATTAAATGGTTACAGGTTAAAGAAGCATGCCATTTTCTCTTCCCTACTTCCTAATGTACATAATTATCACATTGTAATGCATCTTGAATTAGTATGTAGACGTTGCAGTCATATTTACGCCTTTGACAGCCATCTTAAGCTCATTTAGGAATTGTAGGTATATAATACAGTTTATGATCATAATCTTTAGTGGGGATGACATGCTACAATTACCCACCTCTACAGTATGATGGACTGAGGACATAATACTAGGGCTATAAATACGATTATTCTGATAATCGATTAATCATCTGACGTGACGATGGCATTACATGCCATTTACGCAGCAAACTGTAAAAATGAAACCAATTGATGACAGTTTCTTCTCAACTATTTTTATCACTGATTATTAATGATGTTATTGATTAGTTGTTGTGGCCCTATGTAATGCTGATCATTGAAACAAAGTACATTATTATTAATAGTACATTAAAGTTTTTATTAGTGCATTATTTGCTTGAAATTGTACAAGTGACAAATATGATAGAAATGATGAGATTGTCAATCCAATTCCGGGAGGAATGGTCTGCTGATCAGGGTGATCATTTTTGTTCATACTGATTTGTTCCATCTGTTGCTTGTTCTCAATAAATTAATGAATTATTCCACCCTCAGTAACTGAGATACCAGTCTGACACCAGTTCCAAGACCCTTAATCTCCTTCTACATGATTGTTTATATTGTTCCATCCAGAATTTTGCACTTGGTCCATGAATATGGCTGCAGCATTTCTGTTTGTTTTGTGTTGCCTAGTACTGTCACAACCCTGAACAGGATGAAATATCGCCAGTAGACCTGCTGCTTGCTGCTGTGCCTGTGACTGACCCTGTGCCGTCCTGCTTGCTATTCTCACCCTGTCACTTCATTAGCAATGCTTTGGATAACAGTTGATGTATAAATGTTTTGTATTAAATATAATTGAATCCCATCATTTTGATATGACACCAAGTGGGCAAATTGGTGGCAGAATTCCGAAAGCTACACGGACACATTTCACTCCAGAGACTCCAGCATCGGCAGGGCAGTGGCTCGGCCTCTGGATCGCCTACAATGTGTGATTGTGTCAGTGAGTGTGGGATCTGTGATGGATTAACATCCCCTGCCGTGTGCCCTGTGCTTCCTGGGATTGGCTCCAAGCTCACAGTGACCCACTACTGGATAACTATAGAATCTGATGACCGGATGGAGTATATATACATAAATGAAGTATTTGGACATTCTTTCTTTCTTTCTTTCTTTCTATCTATCTTTCTATCTATCTATCTATCTATCTATCTATCTATCAATCAATCATTCTTCTTGCAAGTGCTTGTTTTGCTCAGGGTTATGGGGAAGCCAGGGCTCTACCTTGGCCAATACAAGGCCTGGACAGGTAGCCAGTTCAAAGCATGGCGCGAACACACAAATATATACGGTGATCATTTAGAAATGCCAGTTAGTCTCACCGCATGTCTTTGAACAGTGGGAGAAAAGCCGCAGGAACACAGGGAGAACATGCAGATTCCCCGACCCTGGAGGTATGAGGCGGCGGAGCCACCATGCTGCCCACCATTAACTATTTATGCTTAAACTTAATGTAATAGTCAAGCGATGCTAAAAGTCATTAATTCTGTCCTGCCAATTGCCTTCAATTATCTTCTTTACCAGCAGCTAAAGCATGTTCCTATTCTGACTACTGTCGCACATATCATGAGCAGGATAGTAAAATATCTTTTATAAGATCAGTGGCTTTCGATATCAGCCTGGATAGGATTTTTGCGACGTCAATGCTTTATATGACGTTTATCCAGGACTTTCGTTCTTCCTTTCAAAACCTTCTGTTCTACCTGCAGGGTAGATTTGAACCATTTTATGCATACACCGTCCAGTTAAATCAATGTAAGATATAACGGTAATGAAGGTCTTCTTAATTTTAGGTAGCAACATGGCCTACAGGAAGGTCCGTGCAGGTCATGGGGGCCCTTTGCACTCGAGGGCACTGGAGAACGTGGAGCTGCAGGCCACAGCCCTGGAGCTGGAGTGGGACATGGAAAAAGAGCTGGAGGAGCCAGGCGGGGACAGGTTCCAGTTGGAGGCCTCGGTGTGCCACCCGGTGGGCAACTCCAGTGACGGTGGTGACCCAGACATGGAGCCCATTCAGCCTTCTATTTCCCCACGCGGCCGTTTTGAGCGCTTGGAGGAAGACCCTGACTACATGACACACTTCACCAGACCCTTGCCAAAGAGCCAATGGAGGACCTTCTGTCCGCTGGCCAGATACGCCCTGCTGGGCGCAGGCCTCTTCATCCTTGGGCTGATCCTCGGCCGCTACACACACGCCACCCCGAACCAAACGTCCAGTCCTCCTCCAGACAATGATCTCTACCAAAAAATCCTGCAGGATATTACTGCAGAGAAGATACAGTCACATATAAGGTAGGCTGGCTTAATTCATTTGTACACACACTAAAGAAGTGTTTTCCATTCTGGTCCTCGGCGACCCCCAGACGGTCACAACAAGAAGTAGTGCACAAAGCAGTTATTGTAATCAGAAGTAATCTGTCAATGGTTCTGTATGACATTTGGGGAAATGGGCCTGACCTTAGGATGCACTTTTACTGCTGTTCAAGTAATAACCTTTGTTAAGTGGCAATACAGTAGAAGAGCTGTAAGGCAGGTTAATGATCCAGCCTCAGTCATTACAGTGTATCAGGTAAAGATGTTAAGTGAAATAAAAACCTTAAGCAGGATATTGTGTTTTTGCAAAGGATCACTGCACATGTGTGTATATAGGGCAGTTGTCACAGCAGGGCCTGGTGCAGGCAGGGAAAACGGTGATGATCCACTTGCGGTTCAGAGACAGAAGGGGTTTGTTAATAATACTACACAAACACAACAGGGAAGCCACAAAATAAAAGGACCGCAAGGGATCAAACAAAATGCGAGAGATAAGAATGTAACAAAGAAATCATAAAGCAAAAACACTGGGGAACTGAGCAACACAGGGAACAGGACTGAGCATCAGAACTGCGTGACAAATGCACAGGAACAATAAAGCATCGAAGAACAGACCCAGAACAGGCACTCAAATATACACAGAAACTCAGGGCAAACAAGGGATAGGTATAAATCGTAATCAAATCAACCAATCACAAAAGGAGCAGGACAACAAGCAACAAGTGGAACAATTAACAAGCACAAAACTAGGGAATACTACAGTACAAACACTAAAACTAGAAAACACTAACCAACACTCTGGGAATACAGCAGGATAATTAACAGAACCAAATAATACAAACAAGACCAGAAGTGAACAGGAAAACAGCAGGGCAAACCTTTAACTGGGAAAACAGAATAGAAAACAAGGAACGCTGGGGAACAAAATTAATTAATATAAGTAAACAGATGAGGCTGGTCTGAGGCCAGCCTTGAACCTACAACCAAAGGGTTAACAGTCTGCGCGCTGCCTGCTCAACTCACTGAGCTACACAGTGGTCTGGGGAGTAGGGAAGACGTATTAGGGACCTAGGACTAAGACGGAGGAGAGAACGGGCAGAATATCTCCGGGAAATTAGTGAATAACACTTGGGCCCATTTTTAAAAACACAAAATTAACTGCACTGAAAAGTTTAAAAGTTTCTGCGAAGTGTGCGAGATTCCACAGTCCACCAGGCTGCTAAAGCGTGAGTGAGGCTGGTTGCCTAAAGCCAAAATCTTCCTTTGAGTTTCACCTTTGATACCTCAGAGTTAATGAGGCAGAGATGAGGAGAAGGTGGGAGGGTTTCGAACACAGTCAGGCAAATGGAATTATGGGATGTAGATCATGTTTAACTAACCTCCTTTTTCCTTATTACATATGTAATCTTCCATTCATAAAGTTTGCTAGTTTGCTAAAGTAAAATTCAATAGAGGACACTATAGTGTCATCTTCAGGCAATGTCTTATAAAATTATATAATTGAAAATGCATATTTCTTTTTGTTGTTTTATTCAGAAACCTGCTGCAGGGTATCATTGTATTAGCCAGCTCCGAAGACATTTTTAGCTTTGTTATGTTAATGATGATGTCAGAAATGTACCAATTTTAATAGATAAATAGGTTGCGGTATATCTGAAGAGATGCAAGAGATGAAGGGAGAATTCAGCATTGCAGTGTTCTGCATCCTTTCCAATATATCCTTCTTCTTGGTTGAAAATTTTAGATGAAGTGACCATACCTGCCTCATTTGTAAGGGTTTCTGATCCATGAAATTTGTAAAAAAAAAAGTACATTTGTAAATTGCCAATAGACTTACGTTTGTAGCTAGATGTGTGAATGTGAATGGATATCTCAGCCTCCAACGATATCAGTAAGAAAATCCTGCATGGACTCTGCCAGTTTTGTCATCACACATGGGTTTTCTGTGGATTCAGGTATTATTTGTGGAGTACAGCAATGCTGCATGACATTTCCTGCGCATCGAGGAAGGATTGTGAGTGTTATTGTATATGGAGCTGAAAACACCCTTGAAAACTGAAGCCTGAATGTAACATATTGGCAGAAACTTCAGTCATAGCCATGTGCTTGGTAATTGAGGAAGGAAAGGGATTCCTGGCATTTACTAGGAATAAATGTTTATCTTTGTATTCACTGTGTGAAATTTATAAAATCTGATGTGTGTGTGCAGAAAGCAAATCCTTATGATTGCATCTGTACAGTAGCATTAAGGAATTCATTAGTGCTCATTATTACATTGTGAATATGAAGACATTCAGCTTGCTCTAATGTAGGGGAATTTTCACCATCTTTTTAAACGTGTGTGGGCAGAGGCTTATACGACCAGTTTGTTGAAAAATTAGTTCAGCATAAAAACACTACGATGCATTTTCTTGCCAGTGGTGAGGTCTTGGCTTACTTTCCTCCTAAATCTCTTGTGGCTTTGGTATACACACTCTGAGGATGCAAGACAGTAGGAATCAAGGTACGGTTACGTTTTATTTGGACTGTGATCTGGCTCCTGAGGTTGATGCAATAAAACAGTAACAGTTGAGACCGAGAGGTACATTTATAGCTTCATTACGGGTCGCATCAAAACCTAACTGGTGCATAGATATTTTATTTTATAAAGAAAAAGATGTTAGTATCCCCTAAATTGAAACAAACAACCAAGCACTTTAATTATCTGAAATCTTTGCTACTTCCATGGGGACAAATAAATGGCTTAAAATCTCTGGTCTGCCAGAGAAATGCACTACTCAGCTTGTCAGATGTGAACAATAGATTTCATCAATAAGTTGAATTGCATGTACGTTAGTAAGTGAAATGAAAATTGCTTGGGAGGAGTGGTCAGAACATGCTATTTCCAGGAGGTAAAAAAAACCAATATATATGGTTAGGTTTCCAAACATGTTTCTAGGATACTGGCAAAGGCAATGAAGGCTGGGGATGAGCTGCGAAAAATTGGGGCACATAAAACCTAGTTTTGATCAAGAATAAAGGTATGATATTGTAAAGAGCGACGGTGTACATCTACTGACACATGGTACTGCTACAGTGGTGCAGTGGTTAGCACTGTTTCTTCGCCCCTCAGGGACCAGGGTTCAAACTTCTGCCATGACCCCTCCTGCGTGGACTTTGCATGTTCTCCCCGTGTCATCGCGGGGTTTCCCCTGTTATCCAAATACACTCGCAGGTAGCTACATCTGCATGATCCTCAGGTTCTCTCTCTTAATATTGATGAAAGCTCGTGGGGGTTTTACTTACACAGAAATGTTCTGAGGGCAGAAAGAAAAAGGATTGGTTCAGAGAGATAACCAATCAGATTGCAGAGGAGGCAGGACCAAGTCATCTGATTGGTTGGTCCCACCTTCTCTGGTTGTTTGGACCCACCTCTTCTGCAATCAGTCATCTCTCTGAACCAATCATTTTTCCTTCTGCCCTCAGAGCATTTTTGTGTGTGTAAAACTCCATGAGCTGGCACTTAAACCCCCTGAAATCTAGCCCCATCTCCTCAGCTTTCCCAGTATATCTGGATGTATTTGTACTGCTCCACAATATTTTTTTCGAAAAGTTCCTCTATTCTACTTCCTGCCATTCTCTGATATACCCCATCACTGTATCTCAGTATTGTACCTGAAGTCCGAGATGCAGTACAGTGTGAACTGAAAGGAAGCCAAGATTGTCCCTTGAGGGATCACCATGCTGCTCACTGTCATGTCTGAAAAACAGGCCTGAAGACTCACAAACTACAGTCTGCCAGTCATGAATGTGTCCAGCTGCATTTCTTCTCCTTCAACAATGCACACTGTTTGGTATGGAATGTACTAGACAAATGTTAGCGTCAGCTGCCTTGTCATTTTCTTCCAGTGAAATATACACTAAAATGTTTTCTTGCTACAGTTCATGTCATTGCTTTCCACTGAAAAGTACACAAAAATGTTTTGTCGTTTCCTTTCATGTTGTTGTCTTACACTGAAATATACATTAAGATTTCGTGTTGTGTAACTTTCCATGTCATTCTCATCCAGTGAAATATACATTACGATGTTTTGTTGTGCTGTTATGTTAGTTTTCATGTCACTCTTCCAGTGTTTACCATGCCCGAAGCAGCAACACTTTCAGTTTCGCTATCAATCTCTTGAATTCATGAATGTTGGGAAGTTAACTAATGATAAGTTAAATTAGACAGTGATTTACTCTGCATGCTAATCCCTCTAACTGATGCCTTTGAAGCCTAATTTCCCCATAACATTTCCTTATTAATAAAATTATTCATTTTCTCTTCTCCTCCAGTTAAAATTCTTACATTCCACGGAATTTGGTCATTATCCCTAGAATTGCTATAGCAGCTAAAGGAAAGCACTCAAAGAAAATAGCACGAAACGTACAAAGATCTACATAAAAATAGAGTAGCATTATTGTGTTACGTTAGTAAGAGTTTGATTATGGTGGCTGCAACACTACATGACTCGGATATAACATTTTTAGACGTGGATTTCTGGATTAACACTATTTTTTTCTAGGCTGGTGCGACTTCGCCTGGGTTCAGTATGTTGAGTTAGCTCTCATAGTGCCTTCAAACTTCACACTATTATGACACAATACGGAAAAAGTATCAACAGCTCAAACATATTCTCCAGCAATATCTATCCTTTCCTTTCCCCATGTATATGGATGTAGCCAAAGCAATACAAAGACATACAAAAATGATTCAGTCTTGTATTATTTTAGGAAACACAACTTCCATGATATCTAAATGGCTTAAGCATACTGTCCGTTTCCCTAAATGACCCACTGTGTGTATTCTGTTGGTATGAATGCTTTAGCATTACATTACCAGTGGTAGAGCAGCAGAAAACAATTAGAAATCATAGGGAATTATGCCCTGGCTGATGGATGGAGCTGGGTGGAGATTGTCAGGCCATCCGAGGGTTATTAGAGCTGTACTGGTGACAGGA